GTGGCTCAAGTGGTAGAGCGCTAGCCTTGAGCTGAAGAGCTGAGGGACAGCGCCCAGGCCCAGAGTTCAGGCCCCACGACTGGACCCCCCCTCCCCCCAAAAAAAGAATCTCATGGACTTTGCTGCCTGGGCTGGCTTTGAACCGCTATCCTCAGATCTCAGCCTCCTTGTAGCTAGGATGACATGTGTCAGCCACCAGCACCTGGCAAAGCTCCAGACTATTGATTGACCATCAAAGCCTGAGCATGCATCTACCTTCCCTTTTGTGCCACACCTGCAGTCCCCCCCATATGTGGCTGCAGCTGTCTTCCAAGCATGATGCTGCCTTTGCTCATTCTATTCCCCAAATTTCAGAGGTTTCTAGATGTCCCCCCCACCAGATCTGGGAGGAGATAGCATCTGTTCCTCCAAGTAGCTCCTCATCCCCACTCCTGACTGGATGTAACCCCAATGGGATGCAGGGAGTCATTTCTGGGCTAGAAACTCATCTGCTAACTGCTTGCTGTTGTATGAATTACTAGAAGAATAAAAAGCCCCCCTTCCTTTGGGCTGATGTAGACCTGCAGTAATATGCAAGGCTTGGCCAATAGAGCATGGCTGGATTTTAGTTTTTATTTGCCCTCTCCACCTTGTTGTTTGACCATGCTGGGGGAGTTTGACTCAGGGCCTGGCACTCGGGACCTGGCCTTTTGACTCAGGGCCTGGCACTGGTTGGGCAGATGCTCTACTACTGAGTCAATGCCTCCAGCCCTTTTTTAGTTTGGGTTATTTTTGAGATAGGATCTCACTTCCTTCTCAGGTACATACCCAGAAGGCAATTGGAGTACTTTTTTTTAGGCTTCCATTGTTGCTGGGATGACAGGCACACACCAATGCACCCAGCCTACCTCTGTTGAGATGGGGTCTCTAGCATGTTTCTGCCCAGTCTGGCTTGGAAGTGTGATCCTCCTTACCTCAGCCTCTCATGAGGAGGATGGAAGGTGTGCCAATGTATCCAGCTATGTGACCAAAAGGGGTCTGTGAACTTCTCGGCTCTGGCTGGCTGGAACCATGATCCTCCATTCTCAACCACCCAAATAGCTAGGATTATAGAAGTGAGCCCTGGGCAATGGGTGCAAGCAATTTTGTGCAGAGTACAACTTGTAAAAAAAACAAAACAAAACAAATTCACTTCCCTATTCAGTTATGTTTGTTTCCTTCACTGAGTTTGAAGGGCTTTGCTCCCCAATGAAAGGAGAGGTCAGAGGCAGGGAGACAGACAAATAAGAGCCCACATTCTGAATCCCAGAAAGTGGGGCTGAAATGGAACTTACTCTCTAAAGCAAGGCTGAAAGAAGCCAGTGTAGCTGGGAGTAAAGCTGCAGAACATGGGAGCCCAGTGGACAGACTGAAGTTCTGAGCAGAGGCCAGACTTCAATCGGAGGCCTAGAATGGAAGCTGAGAGGAGGTCTCAGATCGTCAGATCCTCAATATTTCCCCTAAGGTTCCAGTCTTTCTCTTTAGGGGTTGACAGAACTTTTCCAACAGGAACCTAAACTGAAGTCTTGTCCTTGTTTCTCCAGCAGGTGGCAGCAGCACCCAGGACCCAGGGCCTACAGAGCCAGGCACCAGTTCTCACTGTTGCTGGCAAGGCCTGAGCCCAGCTGACTAAAGTTGCTGCTGCCCCTGGCAAGCCTAGAGGAAAGATTGATGCCTCGGACTTTGCTGGGGCTTGCCAACGCAGACATTGATTTCCATTTAGGAGAATAATTAAATATTAATTTTCACTTTGTTAAGCTGGGGAGGGTGAATAAAGCCAATCCTGGCAGATAAAGAGGAAGCTAGGCCATGTTCACGGGAGAGGGCAAATGTCCCCTGTCACCCAAGACCCCTGTCTGCCGCCAGCAGGCTTAGGTAACAGTGCAGAAGGTAAGTAAGTCCTGGAGCCAGATCCATTGGGCTCCAAGCCCAAATCTCCTCATTTAGCTACAAACAGCCTCAGATAAGTTGCTTTAGTTTTTAAGACTCAGTTTTCTTATCTGTAAAATGGGGATGCCAATATAGTCCCTTCTTCATCAAGAATGACCCAGCCATAGATATTGTTATTGTTGTTGTTGTTGTTACTTGCTTTTATTTTTCTGTCCTGGTACTAAGTTTTGGGCTCAAGGTATGGATGCTGTCCCTTAACAGGCTGGCACTTTAACACCCAAGCCAAACCTCCACTTCCAGCTTTTTAGCAGTTAACTAGAGATAAGACTCACAGACTTCTATGCCTCCATCAGAAAGAATGACATTGCCCCATTTGTTAGGAAATGGAAAAACTTGGAAAAAATTATATTAAGTGAAGTAAGCCAGGCCCAAAGAAACATAGGTCCCATGGTTTCCCTTATTTGCAATATCTAGTATATGTATGAGTCAAGCGGAAAAGGTCAGCTAATGTGATGTCAGGAAAATGAACCCTTAGACATGTATTTTAATGTTTTTTCTTTCATGCATGTGTTTCTAACGCATTTATAAGATTATCTCTTTGTTGCTTTGTATGTCCCTCCCCCACAGTATAACCCCTGCTTTCACTATATTTGATGTCAGTATAACTTGTGGAGGAGAGGGGGAAAAAGCAGTTGTTTAAGGATACAGGTGGACCTGATGCAACAACGAGAAGTATAAGTTGTCATGTCCAAAACGAGCTTTACAATGTCGGTCGGGGGGGGGGGTAAGGGGGGGGAGGAGGAGGGTTGGGATTGGGGGGGAGGGGGGAGGCTGGGAAGGGATGTGAAGGGTAAACCAAAGGAGGAGGCTGCAATGCTTGGTAAGAAATGTACGCATTATCCTGCCCATGTAATTGTAACCCCTCTGTACAGTATATTCACAAATAAAAAATAAATAAATTAATTAAAAAAAAAAAGACTCACAGACTTTCCTGCCTGGGCTGGCTTCGAACGACAATCCTCAGATCTCAGCCTCCTGAGTAGCTGGGATTACAGGCATGAACTTATTTTGGCTTTATTGCCCCAGGAACTCTCCTAGCTCTCTAGGGTTTCAGAGCCACATCTCAGGAGCCCCTATGGGGGCAGAGCTCCCCCAGTAGCACTCATGTAGTGGAGCAGGTTGAGAAAGTTCCCGTTCATTTTCTCAGTGTCCCTCATTGGCTTTTAGGATCAAGCCCAAGCCCCTGAGCCTGACTGACAAAGTGTTCCTGTGACCATTGCCTATGTAGATCACCTCTAGCCCGGGCTGAGATCTTAGGGTCCCACATGACTCCACCCAGCCCTTCTGTCTGTGCCTTCACCAGGCAGCTTCCTGTAACTATGGTCACAACTTGTCTCACTGACTTTGGAAGCTCACCACAGAAGTCACAGCTCCCACAGTTGGGTGAATGAAGACTTCCATTCTGCAGCCCCTACCACCAGCTAGCTATGCTGAGAACTTACTTTGGGCCATTGGATTGAACTGTGCATGTTGCATGACTTAGCCGCTATGGCACCCTGTGGGTTCCATTGTATAGATGAAGGAAGTGGAGTTTGCAAATAAAGGCTTGCCTAAGGTTCCAGAGCTGGTCAGGGATAGGGCATGAATCCACCATCCACTCTGCCTGATGCCCACAGCCTGCATATGAAGAGTTGGTGGTGGTGATACTGAGACTCAAGGGTGACGCTTAAGTTGTTTCAGTCACTAAGCCTGGCTCTAGGATCTTACACTCTGGCCACAGCATGATGAGATCTTGGCAAAGCTTGTCCTATTATTTAACACCTTCACTTCATAGAAAGTGCTTCCTTCCACCAAGCCAAAACCAATGGCAGATTCTAATGTCTGGAACCACCACAGAACCTGACAGCAGACACGCTCACCCCCACCATCATGTATTTCTGATATCTCTCTCCGTGTCAGGCACTTGCTTGACCTCAATGAATCCCCATGACAGCCCAGTGAGCAAGGAGTTAGTACTTCTTAGATGTGAGGTGCTGTAGGCTGGGAATATGGCTTAGTGGCACAGTGCTTGCCTAGCATACATGAAGCCCTGGGTTCGATTCCTCAGTACCACAGAAACAGAAAAATCTGGAAGTGCCACTATGGCTCAAGTGGTAGAATGCTAGCTTTGAGCAAAAAGAAGCTCAAGAGACAGTGCCCAGGCTCTGAGTTCAAGCCCCAGGACTGGCAAAAAAGAAAAAAAAACAAGATGAGGTACTGTGCTGGAGAAGTTATATAGACAGAAATGTAGAATTGGTTAATGATAGAGCTGAGAATAAAATTTAAGTCTGTGAGATATGAAATCAGCATCTTTTGTATGTGTGTGCCACTACTCAGGCTTAAACTCAGGAACGGGGTGCTGTCTCTTAACTTTTTTTTTTTTGTCAGTTGTGGGGCTTGAACTCTGGGCCTGGGCGCTGTTCCTGAATTCTTCAGCTCAAGGCCAGGTTCTACCACTTAAGCCACAGTGCCACTTCTGGTTTTCTGGTGGTTAATTGGAGACAAGAGTTCCACAGACTTTCCTGCCCAGGCTGGCTATGAACCATGATCCTCAGATCTCAGCCTCCTGAGTAGCTAGGATTATAGCCACTTGAGCCACAGCTCCACTTCCAACTTTCTTGCTGGTTAACTAGAGATAAGAGTCTCACTGACTCCTTTCTGGGCTGGCTTCAAACCACGATCCTGAGATCTCAGCCTGCTGAGTTAAGCAGGAACGAGCCACCAGCGCCTGGCTTGTGACCACATGGTCAGGAGAGCCTACTTTGTTGTTCATCCAGTGATAGCCATTAAGTGATGACCAGATCAAGTATTACTGATGCTTAGAAGCCTGCCTGTCTGTCTATCCATCAGGTCTCTCTAACTTCAGTGAAGTGACTGGAGAGTGGAAGGAAGATAATTTTGATGAGTAAAGGAACCCCCCCCAAAAAATATCACAGGAAGGCCAGAGGAAAGGGCCATCAAGGACCCAAAGACTGGAGAACATGGCATCCCCACAGAGCCATGTAACTACATACATGGCCACGCCAGTGAAAAATGACACATGAAGTCATGTCCTTAGTCAAGATGAACACATTTTTCTTTTCTTTTTTTTGCCAGTCCTGAGACTTGAACTCAAGGTTTGGGCACTGTGCCTGAGCTTTTTTGCTCAAGGCTAGTGTTTTACCACCTGAGTCCACAGCTCTATTTTCAGCTTTTGTGATACTTAATTGGAGATAAAGAGTCTCACAGACTTTCCTGCCCCAACTGGCTTCAAACCATGATCCTCAGAACTCAGTACTCTTGAATAGCTGGGATTACAGGCCTGAGTCACTAGCACCTGGCTAAGGTGACCAATTTGAGCTTAGCTTACTGTATTGATGTCTCTGCTTAAAAGATGGGCTGGAACACTTGGTCCCAGAGTCTTGGGGCTGTTTCTCTGAGCCAGAAGACTGAGTGTAACACAGAACTTGGAGCTGTTCAGGGCACAGGTAGAGAACGTTAGCGCTGCTACCCCAGGGTTCCAGCCCAGCCTCACAGGACACTGCCCCTGGGCCTGGTGCACTTACCCCTGGCAGGGTCTTCTGTTCGTGCAGTGCACTCTGGGCCTTGAGAGCAGAGTCCCTGGCGCAGTAGGTGAGGAAGGCACAGCCTGAGGAGGGAGAGGTAGGCTCAGTGTGTGTGTGTGTCTTCGAAAACCCCCAACAATCTTCTTGGCAAGACACCATTAAGCTGACAGAGTCAATACCACTCTCCTTCAAATAAAAATACTTCCGAGTAAGTACAGTTCTCTGCCCGCCCGCCACTTTCTCTGAAGGGAGGGTCTTCACCTGTGAGCATCTTTGACCCCAGATCTGGCTCCCTGCCTCATTAGCTCCTGGCCTCCTGCCCAGGGAACATAAGTGTCCATACCCAGTCACGTGCTCGTCCAATCTCACTTTTCCCCTCCCCACTCATCCAGCTGTCCCACTGGGGTTAAATCTCCCTAAGCTGCTTTTGCCTTCATCTTTAACCCGGGATCTCTCTTTCCCTTTTGGATACAGACTCATGGAGTGGCCCAGGATCAGCCTCGATTCCTTCCCAATCCTGGGCTTCAAGAGAAGGCCTCCTATCAGGCTATTATGTCTCCATTCTGACTCCTCTCAAAGGGCCAACTGGCATGGCACAGGGAAGAAGTCTTGCCAGGGGGAAAATACTCCTCCTTCTCTTTTTTTTTTTTTT